AGCTATGGAACTTGCAAATGTTGGCACCTTAGGTGTGTGCAGCAGGGACTGTTCGGGGGGTAATGCTGCAATCTGACGCCCAGATGCTTCACAGGTCTAATTTAAAAAGTGAACAGCATTTCAATTCGGATGATTCTCTTATTTATTGCAAAGTGGAATAAGACAGTACTTCCTTCCATCCCTTTTTAAGCATTCCGTCTTCTTCAAGCATCAAAAGTTCTGCAGTGAACTTTCACTCTGGCAGGGGACTGTTCGGGGGGTAATGCTGCAATCTGACGCCCAGATGCTTCACAGGTCTAATTTAAAAAGTGAACAGCATTTCAATTCGGATGATTCTCTTATTTATTGCAAAGTGGAATAAGACAGTACTTCCTTCCATCCCTTTTTAAGCATTCCGTCTTCTTCAAGCATCAAAAGTTCTGCAGTGAACTTTCACTCTGGCAGTATGTCAGGAACCCAAAGCAGGATGAACTGCTCAAATACTCAAAACTGCTCAAACTACTCCATGCCTCAAAGAGGGTAAGCAATTTAGGAGCCTCGTGGCACAGTGGTTAAAACGCTGTACTGCAGCTAAAACTGTGCTCACGACCTGGGGTTCAAATCCCAGGTAGCCGGCTCAAGGTTGACTCAGCCTTCCATCCTTCCGAGGTCAGTAAAATGAGTACTCAGCTTGCTGGGGGGGGGGCAATGTGTAGCCTGTATAATGAAATTGTAAACCGCCCGGAGAGTGCTTGTAGCACTATGGGGCGGTATATAAGTCCAAAAATAAATAAATAAAAATAAATTTCCTACATGCATGCCTCACAATGTATGACTTTTCTCAAAGCAGATTTTTTTTCAGGCTGAAAGCATTCAGCTGGATCACCTCTAAGGCCTAAGAGGACAATACACAAAGAAAATGTCTATGAGGGCCTGCACAGGAGCTTGGAAAGAGAAAACAGCCTGACCACCCATGTGGGCCAGATCCAAGGCACAATGGCTGGGATTCAGAAACTGGAGCCTGGGCCACCTAGAATGTACCACCATAGTTAGGGTTCTCAGGTCTTAGGTTTGGCCCCAAAGGATCAGGTTTGGAGCTTTGTTCTCTCATTCTCTGGCTTTGGCCTTAAAATCTCAGGGAACAGGATGGTTCCTGTGGTCTTGCTAGAGTTTATCCTGGAGTACTGCAGATCACCATGAGTTCTACCAGTAGATCCGGAATGATTCCTGTTCCAATGTTCTGATTTAATTATTTATTATTTTAGTTATCTGTTTTATTTATATGATGCCCTTCTCCCCATAGGAATTCCAATGTGTCTCACAATCAGATAAATCATCACAACTGAAAACACCATAAAGTAAAACTTTTCTTTCCCTTTCAGTACTGCACTTAGGGACATGGTGGCGCTGTGGGCTAAACCGCAGAAGCCTGTGCTGCAGGGTCAGAAGACCAGCAGTCGTAAGATCGAATCCACACGACGGAGTGAGCGCCCGTTGCTCTGTCCCAGCTCCCACCAACCTAGCAGTTCGAAAGCATGCAAATGCAAGTAGATAAATAGGGACCACTTCGGTGGGAAGGTAACGCCGTTCTGTGTCTAGTCGCGCTGGCCACGTGACCACGGAAGATTGTCTTCAGACAAACGCTGGCTCTATGGCTTGGAAACGGGGATGAACACCGCCTCCTAGAGTCGAACACGACTGGACAAAAATTGTCAAGGGGAACCTTTATCTTTACCTTTTTGCTGCACTTGCTTCCCTCGTTGCCATGTAGCTTTCAGCCTGCAACTGTCCAAAAAGGTATCACACTCTTGAAAGCAAATGCATGGCACTACTAGGTCACTGGTCTTTAAATTCTTCTCTACCTTGGTTGGCATGCAAACAATTTTACAACTGCTGTTGAAGGGGTCTGCACATGGGCACATCTCCATGACAGTACAAGAAGCTGCACTTGCTTCCCTCGTTGCCATGTAGCTTTCAGCCTGCAACTGTCCAAAAAGGTATCACACTCTTGAAAGCAAATGCATGGCACTACTAGGTCACTGGTCTTTAAATTCTTCTCTACCTTGGTTGGCATGCAAACAATTTTACAACTGCTGTTGAAGGGGTCTGCACATGGGCACATCTCCATGACAGTACAAGAATATGTCAGAGGAGATCCTGGAACCGTAGGGAATGGAATGCTGCAGACCTACCAAGTCTAGCCACAAATCAGTTAAACTTTGTAGGCACTTAGGACAGGAGGAAGGAATATGCATAAGGTGCATCTTATATAAAGAAGGCACCAGAGAAGCACTTGCTTCCCTCGTTGCCATGCAGCTTTCAGCCTGCAACAGTCCAAAAAGGTATCACACTCTTGAAAGCAAATGCATGGCACTACTAGGTCACTGGTCTTTCAATTCTTCTCTACCTTGGTTGGCATGCAAACAATTTTACAACTGCTGTTGAAGGGGTCTGCACATGGGCACATCTCCATGACAGTACAAGAATATGTCAGAGGAGATCCTGGAACCGTAGGGAATGGAATGCTGCAGACCTACCAAGTCTAGCCACAAATCAGTTAAACTTTGTAGGCACTTAGGACAGGAGGAAGGAATATGCATAAGGTGCATCTTATATAAAGAAGGCACCAGAGAAAGGCTGAATACTATCGGCTGAATACTATCTGATCATTCATACCTAACTAGGGATGGAAAATAAAGTTATCTTAATTTGCTTTTGAAAATGAATGTGTCGTATTTGTGGTTTACCAGAGGATTAACAAACATACAAACTTC